CTGTACCACTGCTGTTCTATCACTATGGGTTGTAGATCCCACAAGGGTTCTGACCGGACCACGTAGATCCAAACGGCATCGTTCGGAGCAGCGGTATTGTTTGTATTTATCTTCCCCTGTAGTCCATCGCCGCGTCCCACGCTCAGCCTTTACTACAGCCGGCCGTTGTGGCGTGACGTGCTCCTCAGATAAACAACGTCTTCACGTTCCTGCGCCACCTTCCCGGGCCGCACACCAGGCTGTTTGAGAACGTGCGCCGACTCAAGGCCTTCCTGTCGTCCTTCATCCAGGTCCATCGCAATGCCCCCGAGCAGGATGAGCCGCAGGACTTCATCGCGGCGTTCCTCGCCAGACAGCGCAAGCCAAGGCCTCGGGGCCCTCCCGCGGGACATCGGCGACTGCGAGGCCTTCACCGATCCATCGATTAAAATCGATTCTCACGCTCTCGTGCCGGTTCACGATCGAGTTCTGGGTCGGATCGCCCGCCTCGTCAAACAACCGAGTTCAGATGTCGTGCGGTTGGTGACATTGGCGAGGTTGGTGAGCTTGGCGAGGTTTGTGTTTGCAAGGAGGCTGGCAACCCAGACACGTACTTGACGGACGAGACCCTGCTCGTGGTGACGCTGAACCTGTTTTTCGCCGGCACGGAGACCACGTCGACCACACTTTACTGGGCTCTGCTTCTGCTGCTGATGAAGCACCCCGACGTCCAAAGTAAACACCGCGGCAGTGCGAACGACACGAAGCAACCATACGCTCCATGCTCGCCGCACCTCAACTCTGCGGGCCCGGAACGGGGCGTGTTACCCGACCCGTGGACATCGAGGTGGCCATCTCCTGGCTTGCCAGAGTAGCAGTAAAGCAAGTGGATTACTCCCCTTTGTATAAACACTGATTGAAGGAATTGGCCAAACATCCCAACGTAGGACCACAAAGCTTGGGCAATTAGCGGAGCCGGATCAGGTCGCCTTCCCGCTCGTCTGTGGCTTTGCAAAAATAGTGCACGTGCCAATTACTAATTTAAACTAAATCACCATCACAGTTACCACGGCTGCTGCTGTTGCTACTCACTCAATTATCCGTGCTCTCCACTACACAGGGCGATGTAAAACATTGGCAGCTCCCCTCCAGTCGAAATGAAGCGACTGGATATGGGGCAGAGTACTGCACACGGGGCAGCCACATGGCGTCGCTCCGCCAACCGTGAAGCCGCACGGGCAGTGCCCCCTGGCCAGAGGTCGTAATCGGGTACCTGGTACCTGTACCCTACCCGATACCCGGCTACCCGTACCCGGCCGGGTACGGGTACCCGTTTGCGACCCTGGTGCGGTCGGGTACGGGTAGCCGGGTAGGCCGTGAGTCACTGGTGAGTAACCGTTTGTCACTCATTTCCCAACGTCTTGTCTCTTCTCACAATTCAAGTTCCTAGAATCAACCCACCCGCGCCTGCAACTTGGCTTCATCCCAGAGGTCGCAATCAGGTACCCGATACCCGTACCCTACCCGTACCCGGCCGGGTACGGGTAGGGTACGGGTATCGGGTTACCATTTGCGACCCTGGTGCGGCCGGGTACGGGTAAGGAATCAAAACCGTTTGCGACCTCTGACCCTAGCCGACGACCCGGTGTGTTGCGGGTGGTGGTGGTGCGTCGCAGGGCGGCTGCAGGAGGAGGTGCTCGCCCTCGCTGTCCGACCGAGAGAAGTTGCCGCTCGCCAATGTCGTCCTCTACGAGGTGCAGCGCTTCGCCAGCATCGTGCCGCTGCCCCCCCCCCCCCGCACGCCACGACGCAGGACACGCTCTTCAAGGGCTACTTCCTCCCCGAGGTAGGGAGGCCCCGTGCCCCCCCCCCATCTCCGCACCGCCCCCCCCCATCCCCGCACCCCCCCATCCCCGCACCGCCCCCCCCATCCCCACGCCCCCCCCCCATCCCCGCACCGCCCCCCCCCATCCCCACGCCCCCCCCCATCCCCGCACCGGACCGCCCCACCCCCCCATCTCCGCACCGCCCCACCCCCCCATCCCCACCCCCCCATCCCCGCACCGCCCCACCCCCCATCCCCGCATTGCCGCCGTGCAAGTCGGTGCCTGCTCTGTTGAGGGATCCACGACGCCGGTAATCGTAAGGGGCCGTCCATAAATGACGGCACGCGATTTTGGACGATTTTTGACCCCCCCTCCCTTCGTCACACGACGTCACAAAAAGTCAGACCCCCCCCCCTCAAATATGACGTCACAAAGCTCTGCCCCCCCCTCCCCCATTGTAGTGCGTATTTAATGTGGCGCTGCACTCTGATGTTGTAGGAGAAAACATTTTATTAAAACGTCTATTTAATTAAGTAGAACGTGTTGTCTATATTTATTTCAAGTTGCGCATTTTTACGTGACGTCACATTTCTCAACCCTCCCCCCCCCTAGGTGCGTGACGTCATTTATGGACGTCCCCTAACAATAATTAGGGGACGTCCATAAATGACGCCGCTCGGTATTCGCTCTGGTAGAGGGCCGAGGAGGAACCACGGGAGAGCGGGAAGGCCGCAGCAGCTACGTCCTAAGCCTGTGGGGAAACTTCTCCAAGCTCTGCAGTCCTCTATATTTTAAGGTGTTATCACGATTAATGAGTGTTTACATGTGGGAGGAAACCATAATTTCTGGAAAAAACCCCCCTACATTTTCTACATGGCAGAGGCTCGGTCTCATTTGCAGCATTTTGTTATGTAGGCTAGACGTAGTCACAAACCGCACCTCTCCATAATAAAGGCTCAGTCTTTTGTTATGTAATCTAGCCGTAGTCTCAAGCCGCACCTTACCATAATAATAAAAAGTGGGCCGTTCCTGCCCCCCCTCAACCAGTATATATACGGGGTAGTTTCTCTTGAAATCTCTCATTTATTCTTTGGTTCTTTCGGTAAAGTCACGTATAAAGATTAAAAAATACTTGATGCAGCTGTCGTGCTGTGACGGTTCCACCTGAAGACGGAAGCTTGTGTTGCCTCCGAAACGTCGTGATTTTTTATTTTATTTTATTTATTTTACTTTTATTAATTTTAATTTTTACCTACGTGACTTTACCGAAAAACCTAAGAATACAGATGAAACAGTTGTGCCGTCTCAGTGTCATCTCCGTCTTGTCGTCTCCATGCCACAGGGCACCGTTGTGTTTGCCGTGCTGGACTCGCTGCTCAAGGATCCCTCGCAGTGGGAGACCCCGGAGGAGTTCAACCACTCGCACTTCCTCGACCGGAACGGAAAGTTCCAGAAGCGAGACGCATTCCTGCCATTCTCAGCAGGTGACGAGTCATCGGATAACGATTACGACAATGAACGCCACTTGACAGCTCCTTTGTCAATCCACTGCTGGATGCTGAACATGGGGGTTGTTTGACCATACTTCACCACGCTGGTCAGTGCGGGTTGCAGTTGGGAGGAAAAGACCAGTTCAGACATCACTCATTACTCTTTGGTTCTTTCGGTAAAGTGACGTATAAAGAGAAAATAATAAATTAAATACGAGCATACAACGTTTCGATTGCAACACAAGCAATCATCATCGGGTATAAATGAAATAGAAACACAAATCTAGTATACTTAGAAATGTAATGTAATACAACAGAGAGTCGGATAACATAGCAGTCAACACCCTACCTGGTTGATTACGTTCTTCCTGAGAATGCTAAATTTGAGAGAGAGAGATGAAACACAGAACCAGAGACATATAGACAGACATATAAGTAGAGACCGATATCACAGAGATACATAGAGAGAAAGAGACAAACATAGGCACAGAGAGAAACCACGCCTCTGTCTCGAGGCCTTAAATACTCATTACTGACATCATCGCTGTGGCTGGGATTTGAACTCGGTTTGCCAGGTTCACAGCAGCGCACAAATCATTGCATAAACGTTGCTCCCCCTTACAAAAAATGTCTGGACCATTCCTATCGATGGATTCCATTGCTTGGCTGCCACTGTTATTACTGTTGACCATCGTCCATCCTCCTAGCGATGCATTCTGCCCTAGCCCACGAACTCTTGTCGTGTAGACAATGCGATGCCTCTAACGTGCGCGTGTTCTCGAATCCACGGCTTACAGTTCACGTCTGTATGTAAATCAAAACAAAGCACCCTCCGTGCTACGTTGGGCACTTTTCCATTAAATTTTCCTTCCTCAGCGTCTCACATTTCTGATACGTCAGCCCAGCCGTGGGACGCATTCGTGGTTTTTTTTTCTCGTCCCGGGATTTTACACGGAGGGAACGACGCCTTGGGTAACACGGCGGCGCCCCCTTGCTCACACTCGTGTCCTCCAGCAAGGCCCGAGCCAAGTGAAACCTGACCCCTTACCATCTCGGTCTCTCCCAGTGTTCGCCAATGTAGAGAGGCGACGGACCGAGACGACACTCGTCGTTATCTTTTAACATTCATAGCGGCGCTTGCTCACGTGCCTCGGCATCTCAGAACGGCTCACATCTTTCCGCAAACATTCCAAGGGCACCCCCAGTGGCAGCTATCCCTGAGCAGCAGTAGGCGAGTCGGCACCGGCCTGCGAGTGGGGCGTTAGGCCGATGGTGGTGTTGTGGTGTTTGGCGTCTTTGTGTGTGCGCCTGTCGCGTGCCCAGGCCGCCGCGTGTGTCTGGGCGAGCAGCTCGCCAAGGCCGAGCTCTTCCTCGTTTTCATTCGTGGCCCCGCGTGGGCCCGACAGCCTCAGCCTGGCCTCCCAGAATGGCATCACAGTGGCTCCACTGCCCTTCGAGGTTCCACCGTGCCGCTCTAACAGTGCGCACCACTTTAACTGCCATGTCGCTCTCACTGTGCCGCTTCTGCAGAAAGCGTGAAGCTAACTTTCACCAGTTTTGCAAAGTAAAGACCAACAGTGTGAAACATTGCAGCAATGTGGTCGTTTTTTTGCTGCAATAATTGCTTCGTGTGTTTTCAGAGTGAATCATCAGTTGAGCTCTTTTTTTGTTACAAACATCAAAATAGTTTAATTCGCGACCACGACAATAATGTGCAATTTGGAGAAGAGAAACATGTATGGAATCAGAGGCACAGGAAATGCAGCAAAAATACCGAGCGACGTGGAGAGACGCAGATAAAAGAGAAAAGGACACGGCACCAATGCACGATGCTGGCATCAATAGAGGTGCCAAAACGTGTGGGGCGGCTGCTCGGTACGTGGCCCGGCGGAAGTGCGCTCCCCCGCTCGCCACAGAGGTTCGCGGTTCAAATCCAGTGGCCGCCCTGGTAAGTACTGCAGTGTAACAACTGTGATTATACTACCACGCGCCACCTGCTTCACTGATAGTGGATGTTAACGGCCCAGTGATGTAATTCGCAAGAGTAGACCATCGTGTCCCGGCATCATGGTCCACTGAATATACACAGAGCAATCATCTACTGCGAAAACTTAGCGGAGCCCTCCTGGGTAAACGAGCATAACCATAGCGATGATAATGGGTTCAGGTGAAGGCAGTGATGTGGCTTGTCGGCGACATTGCTCATACTGGTGGCTGCTCACCATGGACAGCCTGAAGCAGAGTGCGAGCCAAGCCTGGAGCCCAGGCCTTTATTTAGCTGCGGGCAGCAGAGGCAGCTCCGACGGGAGCGGCTGATGGAAGTGAAGCGGTAGCTCGAGTGAGACGGGCGACGTCAGGTGACGCCAGCGCTGGGTCACACACAACCAGACACGCGGTCGCACAGCCACACAGACACACGCCGCCACACAGTTACACAGACAAACGCCGACACAGTTACACAGACCAATACCAATACCCGCCATTTGCCAGTGATGTCACCACGGTGCCCGTGCCAGGCCAGGTGCACTTTGAGGCCACGTGAAGTCTCAAAGGCTCCCGAACAGGAGGTCATGGGACAGACCCAGGTGCCATTGGTTGGCTGATTGAGATGACTGGTAGATGCACCAGCTGTACCCCCTACTGTGCCAACTTGCTGCAGTTTCGCCGCCTGGCGCTCCGCTCGTTGTTATGATCGTCGCTCCTCCGCCCTCAGTTGTTGTTGGAGGGCGACTGCCTCGAACTGCTCAGTAACATCTTTCACGAGCCTCCTCTATAGAGGCCAATCTTGACACTGCTGGTACCGGTCTTCGGCAAGTCCACTCAGCTCCACATCCTCCCATACCGCATCAGTCCATCTCTTCTCCAGCCCATGTCACGCCCGTTTAGCCCCCTCTATGCGGCCAAACAGAAGCTGCTTGGGCATGTGGTGCCTGGGAATTCTGGCTACATGACCCAGCCAATGCAGCCTTGCCTGCCGGAGGAGCTCACTGATGGAAATGTGTCCAGATCTTTCAAGAATTTGTAAGCTATTCACATAATGCAGTCTGGTTAAACCCAGGATGGATCGTAGGCAGGCCAGCCTGAATGTTTCTCACTGGCACAGATGTTCCATCAGAGGGGTCCACGTTTCACAAGCATAAAAAAGGGAGCACATAACTGTGGCCGAGAAGACCCAAAGCTTCATGCGGAGCGACAGACCAGGTAGCTTCCACACCGCATTATGCAGCCAATGAAAAGATAATGCAGCCCGACTGATTCGGAGCGAGACCTCTGCTGTCAAACTGCAGCTGGTCATAAGCACACTGCCCAGGTATGGGAAACTGTCCACTCTCTCCACAACTGTTCCATCACAAATGGGGAGCTGAGGAGGTGGACGGTTTATGGGCACAAACTACCCAGGCAGGTGCTTAGGTTTGGTGGGGCTAATGGTAAAACCTCACTTCTTAGTGGCACACTCCAGGTTCAGCAGCAGCACCTCAACTCCTATGAGTGAGCAGCAATCACCAGATATTCAGCATACATAACATGGTTGACCAATAGGAAGCCATCCCTCAACCGCACGCGAGCATCGATGAGCCTCCCATTGCATTTGTACCAGATGGAAATTCCTCCGGTACAACCATGGAAAGCTTCTCGAACTATGTCGTCAAAGATGATGTGAACTAATGTGGCAGCCAGAGGACATCCCTGTCGTACCCCAACGTGAACAGGGAATGGCTCGCAATCCTGGCCACGTGGCTTTACCCGGGCCTGCCCACCATCATGAAAGCCCTTAATGATTGTGAGCAGAGTCGGGGACTCCGAGAGCATGAAGAACCACCCACAGCCCAGGCCTGTTGATGGTATCATAGGTCTTGACCAGGTCAATAAAACATAGATGTAGGTCTTGTTGGAATTCCCTACACCTCTGCTGTAGCAGACGGACAAAACATATGGCATCCGTGCAAGCCTCTCCTCAGCGTCCCTGGAAAGGCAATGTTGAATAATCCTTGTCAGGACCTTTCCCGGTACACTAACTGAAATGCCCCTATAGTTACAATCCTTCCATACAGACACACAAAGATCCCCCATATAGCCTTAACAGACTGTAGGGGCAAGTGCTGTTAGCGAGGACCTATGAAGGCCGCAGCGGTACGCGAGGGGGTGGGTGGCCAGCACCACGCCCGACCGCCTTTGTCTCCCCAGTGGTGATGTTTACGCACCGCACCAGGTACTCATTTGAGGCTGAGTCGACCTAGGGGAGGCCCAGGACCGGTTCAGATAATCGTCACTGGTGTTGGCCGTGAGCGGGAATTGAACTCGGGTCGCAGGGTTCATAGCGCAGCGCGCTAACCGCTACACCACCGCTCCCCACAGACACACGCCACCACACAGACCCACGCCTCCCACGCAGACACACGCCACCACACAAACACACAGACATGTGCAATCAAACAGACACGCGATCACTGTCACCGTGCAGCACAGTCACATAAGGTCACACAGGACATTAGCGGGACCTTGATTCACCGCCTGTGACTACAGCACAGACCGTTGCTTCTCCAAAGAGTGATCCGCTAGCGAGGAGCCCTGTGGTCAGTAACCCAGTGGTGAGTAACCCAGTGGTGAGTAATCCAGTGGTGAGTAACCCCCCACCCTCCTTCCACCTGTGCGAGGCTGCCCCTGGCAGCGGCGAGCTTGTAGAGCGCCACGGCCGGGATGCACAGCATGGAGGAGAGCGCGAGCAGCCAGCCCAGAGCCTCGGCCCAGCCGGGGTACTCGTAGCGGCCGTTGTACACGAGCCGCTCGTAGTGCACCAGGTGGAACACGAAGATCCCCTAAGCGCAGGCAACGCACACGCAACACACATGCAGGCAGCAACACAGAGCTAAGGAGTGGTCTGGGGCGTCGAAGCACTCAGCCAGCACCGGTGAGCTGCATGGGCGCGGCACGGGCTGGAGAAGAGATGGAGTGATGCGTTACAGGAGGATGTGGAGCCGAGTGGATTTCCGATGACCGGTACCAGCGGTGTCAAGATCGGCCTCCGTGGAGGAGGCTCGTTAAGGACGCTACTGGGCAGTTGGAGGCAGTCGTCTGGTAACGGAGGGCGGAGGAGCGACGCTCACAACGAGCGGAGTGCCGGGCGGTTATAATGTGGCGAGGTGGTATAGTTGGGGGCCCAGGTAGTGAATCTGCCAGTCACCTTGGTCAAGTCAACCCATTAAGCCTTCGCTATTCCATAAGACTTCTTTGTTACATGAAGCGTACAAAGCGCACCTAGTCTGGTACCGGCCCCATGGTGCCGTCATGGCCACTTGAGGGTGGAGGGCGGCCGCTGTGGTGCGTACCAAGCACACGGCAGGGCTGAGCACGCTCCAGCACCACCGCACCCATGCGTGCGGACGGAACCCGAGCATCGCCGTCAGGTCCTGCATGAACCGATTGACTCCTGCACATAGCAACAACGCCAACAACATCGACAACATTAACAACAACATCGCCAACATCGCCAACAACATCGACAACATTAACAACAACATCGCCAACATCGCCAACAACATCGCCAACATTAACAACAACATCGACAACATTAACAACAACATCAACAACATCGACAACATTAACAACACCGACAGCAGGAATGAGCAGGTATGTAGATGGGTAAGCGAGTGGATGAGTAAGTACATGGACTAAATAAGGAACCATGTGTGTCAATAGGCTGTGGGTGAGTGATTCAATGTGTGAGTGGGTGAGTTTATGAGTGGGTGAGTGATTCAATGTGTGAGTGGGTGAGTTTATGAGTGGGTGAGTTGTGAGTGGGTGAGTTTGTGAGTGGGTGAGTTTGTGAGTGGGTGAGTTTGTGAGTGGGTGAGTTTGTGAGTGGGTGAGTTTGTGAGTGGGTGAGTTTGTGAGTGGGTGAGTTTGTGAGTGGGTGAGTTTGTGAGTGGGTGAGTTTGTGAGTGGGTGAGTTTGTGAGTGGGTGAGTTTGTGAGTGGGTGAGTTTGTGAGTGGGTGAGCGTGTGAGTTTGTGAGTGGGCGAGTTTGGGAGTGGGTGAGCGTGTGAGTTTGTGAGTGGGTGAGCATGTGCGTTTGTGAGTGGGTGAGCGTGTGAGTTTGTGAGTGGGCGAGTTTGTGAGTGGGTGAGCATGTGAATTTGTAAGTGGGTGAGTGTGTGAGTTTGTGAGTGGGTGAGCGTGTGAGTGGGTGAGCGTGTGAGTTTGTGAGCGGGTGAGCGGGTGAGCGTGTGGGTGAGCGTGTGAGTGGGTAAGCGTGTGAGATTGTGAGTGGGTGAGCGTGTGAGTGGGTGAGCGTGTGAGTTTGTGAGTGGGTGAGTGTGCGAGTGGGTGAGTGTGTGAGCAAGCGAGTGGGCCTTTGCTACCGTAAACCCAAGCCACAGCGATGCACTCCCAGCCCATGAGCCACAGCATGGAGATGCCGCTGGCTGCGTAGCTGTCAAACAGCTGGAACACATAAATGCCACCCTGCAGCACAGACAGCACAGACACAGCACAGACACATCAGTCACCCTCAGCTTGTGTACTCACTGCAGAAGAGTAGATATGCTTTGTCTATAGGCCTGTTTACTCATTCGCAAATGATTCCTAGTGGTCTCGTTCATTTATCGATGCAACCTTGGTCGTGGCCAGTGAAGTGAATGCCACTGCGAGCCCTAATGGACGGGCAGGAGACTTCGAACAGCTTCACCATCACTGAACCTAATTCTAGATTTGAAGCTTTCGTGACTGCAAGGATTCATATTCTTAGGTTTTTTTCGGTAAAGTCATGTAGGTATAAAAATAACATTTAAATTAATAAAAGTAAAATAAAAATTAAATTAAATTAAAATCACGACGTTTCGGAGGCAACACAAGCCTCCGTCTTCAGGTGGAACTGTCACAGCACGATAGCACGATAGCTGTATCAAGCTGTATCAAGTGATACAGCTATCGTGCTGTGACGGTTCCACCTGAAGACGGAGGATTGTGTTGCCTCCGAAACGTCGTGATTTTTATTTTATTTTTTATTTTACTTTTATTAATTTTAATTGTATTTTTTACCTACGTGACTTTACCGAAAAAACCTAAGAATATCACCGAATCTCATTAGCACGGCCCGGCGAACCGTGCTCGCATTGCCGGCCTTCATGGCTGCTTGCTAACAGCACTTGTCCCAAAACGTCTGTTAAGGGGCCGTCCATAAATGACGTCACGCACCTAGTGGGGGGGGGGCGGGGTCAGACATTTGTGACGATGTGTGACGAGAAATGTGACGTCACATCAAAATGCGCAATTTTAAATAAATATAAACAACACGTTCTACTTAATTAAATATACTTTTAAATAAATGTTTTCTCCTACAACATCAGAGTGCAGCGCCACATTAAATACGCACTACAATGACAATAGTTTAAAGCGATTTGAAGCATGTTTTATTTTTAAGGGGGGGGGGGGGCAGAACTTTATGACGTCATATTTGAGTGGGGGGTCTGACTTTTTGTGACGCCGTGTGACGAAGGGGGGGGGGGGGGTCAAAAATCGTCCAAAATCGCGTGACGTCATTTATGGACGGCCTCTAAGGCTATACGGGGGATCTTTGTCTTTATGGGGGAGGGGTGGTGGGGGATGAGGGAGGGTGGTCACGTGGTGAGTAGGGAGACAACCTGTCAAGTCGGCGGCCGCTACCTGAGTCACCATGGTGACGGAGAGGAGGAAGCTGACGAGGCAGCAGAGACCCGTGAAGGCCTCACGCCGCCTCTTGCCACTCAGCTGGGACGGGAACAAGTCCGTGAGCCCCGTCACAAACCCCTCCATCCCCGCAAACTGCGGCACGGGAGGGGGGGGGGGAGACCAGAGGGGCAAGAAACGTCGCGGTTTGGCTAAATTAGTCACGATTGATAGTTGTTTTTTTACCCTTTTATCTGGCAACAAAACTGACACCTTTGTTTTACAAGGAGTCATGTTTGCATAGACCACAATACCTGCAGTCGTAATGCAAACAAAAAACACAACTCTGATAATGTATGCACTGTCCTTATCAGAGTTATGTTTTTTGTTTGCATTACGACTGCAGGTATTGTGGTCTATGCAAACATGACTCCTTGTAAAAAAAAAAGTGTCAGTTTAGTTGCCAGATAAAAGGGTTAAAAACCAATTATCATATTTTTTCTTCTGGCAAATGAGGTTCCAATGGTAGTCACGATTGTTCAATTATTTAAATCTTGTCAAAAGTCCATGCCGAACACCGCAATGCTGTTGCATCTGTTCTTTAACCAAGTTGCAGAGTACTTGGGTCACTCCAGCTAATAATGGCCTGGTGTATCATGAACGTTCAGGTTTGGAAGTGGCTCCGAGGTCAGAGGACTGAGCTGGCACCGCCAAGACCGTGGGTCCCAAGCATGACGTGAACGTTGGTGGATGTCGACACCATTTCTCCGGGAAGTGATACCTGGCCTCTTGGTGCCGACGGGAGGGGACAGGGCCAGGTCGCCCTGTGGGTGATTTTAAAACGGCTCGAAGATGCTTTACGACCGCTCGCGTGGCGGCGATCGTCAGCAAAGTAAAAAATACCAAAGGGGAGTGCGTGCGCTTCTCATCTCTGTCTACTCTCCAAATCCAGCGATAGGAAGTCCACATTCTTACGACAGTCATCGGGATGGAGGAGTGACACTGGACTGTACTATGAACTCGGCGGCTTGGCCACGGCTCACATCAGCGCCGAGCGATGTTTTAACCGGTCCAGGCTTGGCCAGGATAAATCGGAAATCAAACGTCAGTGTCGATAATGAAGTGTCATAATTCCTGACAAAATGTATTTAAAGTATATAAATAACTAATTGAATCTACATTATTAAATGAATGCCAGAGAATAACTAACGATATGACAGCCATGTTGCATGGGATTGTCTTCCTGACAGCTGATTGGTTCTCACAGTGGGAGTGATGACATCATCCCGAGCAACCGTAGTCATGTGACCAAGCATTGCGATCTCGGTAGGACATTCATTATAACCTCCCTTATTTCTAACGCCATTTCAGATCCTACTACAATTGCAACCTGATCTCGTCAAGGAGAATAAACCATCACGTGAACTCCGGTCATCCTTGCAGCGGGCTTTGTCTAATCATCGAACAAAAGCGGTCACTGCATCGCGCACTTTCAGATGTGCTTATGCGATCGTCTGGAATGCTCTTCTGATATTAGGAATACACTGGAGCTATGCACCATATTGAAAACTAATTTCTTGAAAACAGCTTTTTGTGATTAGTTTGTTATCCTTCCCCCGCACCTTCAATTAGCAGTTGACTACGTACGGTGCGAAAGAAATTCAACATACATCGTTTCTCTGTATCTCCGTTGATTTGGCTACATGAACTAAAGTGGTCCACGCGTTGTTCCCAGTAGGAGGAATGTCTCCTGGCGAGGGAGAGCTGGGTGCGGGAGCTCGCCTCGCTGTCCACGCCAAGCAGCAGGAGCATGATGAAGAGCAGGGCGGCCCAGAGAGCAGGCACCGGCAGCAGGGAGATAGCGCGCGGGTAAACCACAAACACCAGCCCGGGGCCTACACACACACACACCATGCACTACCGTTATACACACGCACGTACCTATGGAGGGCATCTCTAGACAATAGACTGACAGACCAGCCTCTGACGGGGTCTCTAGACAATAGACTGACAGCCCGGTCTTTTGATGGGGTCTCTAGACAATAGGCTGACAGCCCGGTCTCTTGATGGGGTCTCTAGACAATAGGCTGACAGCCCGGTCTTTTGATGGGGTCTCTAGACAATAGGCTGACAGCCCGGTCTCTTGATGGGGTCTCTAGACAATAGGCTGACAGCCCGGTCTTTTGATGGGGTCTCTAGACAATAGGCTGACAGCCCGGTCTCTTGATGGGGTCTCTAGACAATAGGCTGACAGCCCGGTCTTTTGATGGGGTCTCTAGACAATAGACTGACAGGCCGGTCTTTTGATGGGGTCTCTAGACAATAGGCTGACAGCCCGGTCTCTTGACGGGGTCTCTAGACAATAGGCTGACAGCCCGGTCTCTTGATGGGGTCTCTAGACAATAGACTGACAGCCCGGTCTTTTGATGGGGTCTCTAGACAATAGGCTGACAGCCCGGTCTCTTGATGGGGTCTCTAGACAATAGACTGACAGCCCGGTCTTTTGATGGGGTCTCTAGACAATAGACTGACAGCCCGGTCTCTTGATGGGGTCTCTAGACAATAGACTGACAGCCCGGTCTTTTGATGGGGTCTCTAGACAATAGGCTGACAGCCCGGTCTTTTGATGGGGTCTCTAGACAATAGGCTGACAGCCCGGTCTTTTGATGGGGTCTCTAGACAATAGACTGACAGCCCGGTCTTTTGATGGGGTCTCTAGACAATAGGCTGACAGCCCGGTCTCTTGATGGGGTCTCTAGACAATAGGCTGACAGCCCGGTCTTTTGATGGGGTCTCTAGACAATAGACTGACAGCCCGGTCTCTTGATGGGGTCTCTAGACAATAGACTGACAGCCCCGTCTCTTGATGGGGTCTCTAGACAATAGACTGACAGCCCGGTCTTTTGATGGGGTCTCTAGACAATAGACTGACAGCCCGGTCTCTTGATGGGGTCTCTAGACAATAGGCTGACAGCCCGGTCTTTTGATGGGGTCTCTAGACAATAGACTGACAGCCCGGTCTCTTGATGGGGTCTCTAGACAATAGACTGACAGCCCAGTCTTTTGATGGGGTCTCTAGACAATAGACTGACAGCCCGGTCTCTTGATGGGGTCTCTAGACAATAGGCTGACAGCCCGGTCTTTTGATGGGGTCTCTAGACAATAGACTGACAGCCCGGTCTCTTGATGGGGTCTCTAGACAATAGACTGACAGCCCCGTCTCTTGATGGGGTCTCTAGACAATAGACTGACAGCCCGGTCTTTTGATGGGGTCTCTAGACAATAGGCTGACAGCCCGGTCTCTTGATGGGGTCTCTAGACAATAGGCTGACAGCCCGGTTTTTTGATGGGGTCTCTAGACAATAGGCTGACAGCCCGGTCTCTTGATGGGGTCTCTAGACAATAGGCTGACAGCCCGGTCTTTTGATGGGGTCTCTAGACAATAGGCTGACAGCCCGGTCTCTTGATGGGGTCTCTAGACAATAGGCTGACAGCCCGGTCTTTTGATGGGGTCTCTAGACAATAGACTGACAGCCCGGTCTTTTGATGGGGTCTCTAGACAATAGACTGACAGCCCGGTCTCTTGATGGGGTCTCTAGACAATAGACTGACAGCCCGGTCTTTTGATGGGGTCTCTAGACAATAGGCTGACAGCCCGGTCTTTTGATGGGGTCTCTAGACAATAGACTGACAGCCCGGTCTTTTGATGGGGTCTCTAGACAATAGGCTGACAGCCCGGTCTCTTGATGGGGTCTCTAGACAATAGACTGACAGCCCGGTCTTTTGATGGGGTCTCTAGACAATAGACTGACAGCCCGGTCTTTTGATGGGGTCTCTAGACAATAGACTGACAGCCCGGTCTCTTCATGGGGTCTCTAGACAATAGACTGACAGCCCCGTCTCTTGATGGGGTCTCTAGACAATAGACTGACAGCCCGGTCTCTTCATGGGGTCTCTAGACAATAGACTGACAGCCCCGTCTCTTGATGGGGTCTCTAGACAATAGACTGACAGCCCGGTCTTTTGATGGGGTCTCGAGACAATAGGCTGACAGCCCGGTCTTTTGATGGGGTCTCTAGACAATAGACTGACAGCCCGGTCTTTTGATGGGGTCTCTAGACAATAGACCGACAGCCCGGTCACAAGGACCCTGCGAGTGGCAGCCACAGGGGAAGGTGGTGCTGGAGGAGCGCTGTGGTGGTGTTGGTGGTGGTGGCGGTGGTGGCGGTGGTGGCGGTGGTGGTGGCGGTGGTGGCGGTGGTGGTGGCGGTGGCGGCGGTGGTGGTGGCGGTGGTGGGGGCACCAGTCTCGGCGACATGGCTGATGTCCACGCCCTGCTCGCGCGCCATGAAGCCCAGGAAGGAGAATACGACGAAGCCGGAGAAGAGGCTCGTGGCGCTGTTGATGATCGTCAGAATAATGCTGTCCCTGGTGTCGGTGCCGGCGCCAGCATGGAACACATCGGGTAACCGTCACGCGCAACACAACTCTGCACAGCAACATTTTAATGCAGTAGTATAGCGGCTAAATGCTACTGCCACTCAACATGCATCACAAACCTCTGACAGCTCTATCATGTGTCAGCGTGTGTGAGAGTGTACCTGGCCTGACGCAACCGCCGTGGTGACGTTATCGCCACAGAGTGGGGAATCACGGCTGTTATTGTTGTCTGGATGTGCGAGTTGTGTTTGTGTGAATGTGCGTGTGAATGTGCGTGTGAGACTGTGTCCGTGACACAAGTTGGAGCCCCAACTAGAGCGGGGAAAGGGCCATGGGGGGTGAGCGTGAGCGGAAGGACGGAGAGGAGAGAGAGCCCTGGCCGCGGGGTGGTGGTGCAACGCGGGGAGCCCCCGACCGCCCCCTCGCCACTCACCGGTAGCAGTTGTTGTGGAACTTGTTGTAGCTGCCCAGCGCGGGCAGAACTCCGAAGCCCACGCCGTAGCAGTAGAACACCTGCGTGCTCGCCTCCACCCACACCTGCAGCAGCAGCAACAACAGCCGCGGCACTTGTACCGAACTAGGTACACCTGGAGGTGACGCGAATTATCAAACGTTCGCCGGCAGGAGGTCACGGAACAGACCCTGGTGCCGTGGGTTGACCGAGTTGACTGGGAGATGTACCACACCTGCGGCGTATGCGTGCGGGGCATCCCAATCAACGCTCCAGCACTGTGGGCATGGAAGCGGTTGCTTGGCAAGGTGTCACTGCAGCAGCAATTCAGCTGACAGTAAGACAACCCCCATGCAACATGGCCGACATGGTGTCACTCATGTAACATGGCTGCCGGTCTGTGCCTAAGGTGTGTTCATGTTGATTGAATGCGTTATTTATGTTAATAATGTCATTATAAGTGTTATTAATATTATAATTAATGATGTTATGTCACTGATTATTGGTTGACTTACTTTTACTTTGACAATCAACTTACCAGTGAGTGGTCCTGATAACCCCTAAAATTCTCTGCAAATGTTACAATGCTTTAATGTCTTCACTCCCTCATCTTAGCTCACACAATTTCTAGAACTGCGCAAGTCATTTTGTACTCAAGTCCGAGACTCCTAGAGCACATCCCTGCTTCCTACCGGGAACACAAACCTGGACGTTGGTGCTAATCCTGGGCCATAACACGACTCAGCCCATCATCATTACCTTTCCGGGATCGATAAAACGAGTACCACTTTGCGAGGAAGTAAACAGTGCTTGTCCTATGAATCGACTCGCCCCTGCCACAGAAACGTGGAATTTGCAATGTCTGCCACTGGGCTGGCAGGGGCAGGTTCCCACGGCCGCAGTGCCGCTATCCAAGTGCCGACCTCCGACCTGTGGCGTGGCGAGTTTGTCCCAGTCGGGTTGGAGATAGTAGACGATGCCGTCGAGAGCGCCGGGCAGCGTGGCTCCTCGCACGAGCAGCACCAGCAGCAGCACGTACGGCACGGTGCCCGTCACGTACACCACCTGCGGGTCCCGCACGACAAACACAGATCCCCCATGTAGCCTCCAACACGGTCGGCGAAAGTGCTGTTAGCGAGCAGCGCCTACGAAGCCCGGCACGGCGTGTACGACTGGGTGGGTGTTTACAAGCCGTGCCAGGCACTTGTGAAAACACCTGCCTGAGCATTGGTCTGACGTGTGGCACCTACGTTTTCTGACCTTTACTCGGCCGCACGTGAGGTGCCGCATCCGAGTCACCTGACCCTCGGCACTCGGTGAGAAATTCACCCCCGGGGATTCGGTGAATTATCGCGATCCAAGGCCGCAGCTCGTTGCACAGACCCCCTCTTTGTCGTCTCGATTTTTATACTTGCAGGAGCAAACAAGTTGCATGGAATTTGAACAAATCCTCAGTCATCGTGTTTATTGGTTTTAATCAAAAATTCATTACATTCCAAATGATACCCCTCCAGCGATAGCGGTGGGAGTGCAGCATCTCGCCTGACCAGCTCCCGGTCCAATCCCAACATTGCACGAGTCAACGCCTTCCACAGGCTCTGCTGCCTGTCTCTCCCCTCTCACTACACCCCTCATTGCTTGGAGCTCTCCTCCACGAGCCATCTTTGCCATGAACTCCATGCCCCTGTTCCAAGCCCAAAATCAATGCCTTCCGCTTCGCCCCTCTGCCCTTGACTGACTGCCTCTCTCCCTCTCTGCACGGTACAAACACTGGCGCTGCCCGTGCATGGACACCATGCCGTTCGCGCCAAGTATCACACGGTCACCTTGCCAGAGAACTTGATTCCCTTCCACACGGAGAAGTAGACCAGGAGCCAGACGGCCAAGAGGCACAGCAGCATCTCCCAATTCACGGAGCCCAGGTCGTGCATCCCCGACGACACACGCAGCACGTTCCGCCTGTGTGAACAAAGACAAAGATCACCCGCGGAGCCTGTAGTAGGCTGTTGGGGCAAATGTTGTTAGCTGGCAACACCTACTAAGGCCGGCATGGCGCACGAGCGGGCGGGTGGCCAGCATCACACCTGGCCGCCTGTGCAGAGTTGTAAATTCCCCCAATTTTGATCCCGATTCTGCTACGAAGATGAAGAACCCGTTCGAATCTCTCGCACGACGGCGGCTTTGGAGAACGGCCCACTGGAACGGATACCGCAGAGCTACGCCAGAGATCCCTACAGCGAGCGACCTCTGGCCTGCCGCCGCCTACAGCGCAACGTGCATCCACTCACTCCCAGAATTCCACGGCGGGCGATGTCGTGTCCTGGCACGCCGAAACTCCCTCGCTGGCGTTGCTGGCCGCACGCGAGCTGCCCAGGCCTCGGGACAGCGAGACGTTGCGGAGGAGGCCGCTCGCGTTGGACGGACACGGCGCGTACGTCTCGGAGCAGGCAGCCGTCGCCCACCAGCCCCGGCAGTGGGTCCAGGGCAACTGGGCCGTGGTCAGGCTGTGCAGAAGGTAGTAGAGGGACCAGGCCAGGACCACGATGTAGTAGAGGTCGCTGAGGAAGACGACCACCATCGACGCCACACCGACGCCTGCGCCACGGAAATAATCGTGCGGAGGTGGTCACGTGGGTCCGACGTCAGGCGCTGACATGGCACATCCAGAGTTGGGACCAGGAACTGACGATTAAAAAACCGGGTTCTCAAGCGCAGCTTGTTTATGGTCTCCACTAGGTCACCAATTACTTCAATATATTGCGGCTTTTTTCACAAAACTTGAAAAATACGAGATTGCAAATCACTCATATAGAGATTTAAAACATTGGTTTCACCATTTATCGCAAAAACACCAATTTCATACTGAGTGCCTCGCAAATCGGAAGGTCCGCGAGTTTACATCCAGGATCGATACCACGAACACCACGTTGCTGGGAATTCAGAAGGTCAACAGCAGTTGTCCTATCAATGGACTCGCCCCTGCCATAAGAATGGGGAATTTCCACCACTGGCTCAGGGACGTAACGGAAGACGAGCCCATGCACCAATGCTCGACAGTTATCACCGAACAGCGTGTAGAGTTCTGCCCGCGCCGCACTCGGCAAGACCGTACCGGTGAAGAGCGGCACGATCTTCCACACGCCGATGGTGCCCTGCTGCGTGAGCTGCCCCAGCGCCACCTCGAGGAAGAAGAGGGGGATGCCCACGCACACCACCGTGAGCCCGTACGGCACGAGGAACGCCCCTGCAGACGCGGGAGATGGGCAGCGTCAGGCACACGAGGACGAAGGGAGAGGCCAACAGTAGGAATTAGTAGACATTTAATAACGAATAGGGAATTAGTATGCATTTGTAGTGACTGTGAATGTCCCTGTGTGGTGCCGGGCCTGCGAGGTCACAGCGGATAGTATGTTGTCATTATGTGCAGCCCGGTTACTGGGCGTAGTACCAGCCCTAGCGAGGCTTGGGTGTGCGCTGGTTAGCACAGAGGCACCACGTACAGTGTGCAGTGCGGGCGAGAGAGAGCGTCAGTCAGCCAGGGTTACGTTGGGGCATGATACGCTGGTTGACCTGCCGACACGTGACCGGATGATATTGGAGGGGGGCCACCGGTGGACGGGGGCCGCTGGGTGGTCACGTGGTACAGAGGAGCTCTCGGGAGCCTTCGGGAAAGGGCCAGAGAGATCGAGAAGGTGGGTGGGGCGAGAGGCGGAGCCAGCCCCAGCCCAGGCTGATATAACGGGGGCCCCGTGAGGGGCTCGGGGTTCTTGACTGTTGGTGAGTGAAGATCCACGTCGGGTTGAAGAAGCCTCTAGCCACGCGGTCCGGGACCCAGCTCGTGGTCCGGACCGGTATAGCAGGACCGTGTCTAGTTCTGCCGTAGCGTGGTTAGATCAACACCCAAGTGTAGGTTACGTGATGTTGCGTTGAGTTGATGTAATAAATAGTGTTGCTCCCAAGATAACGTCTGCAACTCAGTTGGAATCACTACACATTAAGTAACAAATAAGGAATTATTATGTATAAGTAACAACTATGGAATTAGTATGCATTAGTAACAAATATGGAATTAGTATACATTAGCAACAAATAGGAAGTCAGTATGCATTAGTAACAAATATAAAATTAGTAACAAATATGAAATTAGTATAAATTAGTAACAAATAGGGAATTAGTATGGATTAGTAACAAATATGGAATTGGTATAAATTTAGTAACAAATAGGGAATTAGTATGGATGAGTAACAAATAGGGAATTAGTATGCATTTAGTAACATGCAAATGTACTAAACTTGCAAATTAGGAACTCGCGCATAGCGAGGGCTTAACTGTATTTACGAATTTTATTTGTGCATGAGAGCTATATTTTCAATTCTGTAAAGTATAAACATATTAATGTGTTCCCATTGTGAAGCTGTCTAATTTTTTAAGTGATATTTTCCATGTTACACAATGTATTACCATTATACAGGGTGCTTTTAAAAATGTTAACACTTATATGGGACTATCGTTTTTAATGGAAAAAGAACAGATAATACACTGTAACATGATAACAAATGTATGTTAATAGCTTCAAAAAGTCAGAGTCTCCACTTGTTCACCATCATTGTCAACAAATGCCTGGGATCTTCTCCGTGCGGTCTCTAGAGCTCCATTTATTTGAAGGACCCTATATTTATTACTACGGTATTGCGACGCTACGTGATGATGGTGCTCATCATCGTCATCATCATCGTCGGCGATGATCGATCCACTGCTGGATGAAGCCCAGAAGTGGATTGGATGGAACCCAGGCGCTTCTTGCTATGAGTTGCGAGTGTTGCATGGCGGTGGTCACTCTCCTACTGCCCTGCGGCCCTCATACAGACCTTGTGGAGCTGTGCGCTGATAGTTTTGCCAAACTGGTTTTTTCCCAGTTCACTTGAAATTACTTAACAATTTCTCCTCCCTTTATCTGTGCCGCTGCAGGCGTGTAATTATGCGTGTGTGGGCAGGCACCGCATCGTGAGAGGTCAGCAGTGTCCAGCATAAACATCTCACGGAGAGTGAAAACTTTGGCACAGTCACCACTGAGAATCTATGACCGAGACCTCCTTGTCTATTCGCAAGAGAACCGGCACTGCAACGGTCCAGTTCCACCAGACTACCAGGCACAACGGAGGCTGTGAGGCCCAGGCACTCAGCGGCCCATGTAGGGCCGCTTTATGACATTGCTTTGGTCCTCAGCTATGTCAAGCTTTAAAAGCCTCCTCGAGGAATGCCCATATATTTTTGTCATAATGGAAGGAAATAAACCATTTCAGAAAGAGATTATGTAAAACGTTAAACTTCATAATCTTTTATCGAAATTAGAGGCCCCTCAATATGAGGCTCTAAGCTGTAGGTTACTTAATTTGTGCCTAAATCTGGCACTGGGCACAGCGACGGTCCAGGCACAGTGATGGCTGTGCGGCCCAGGCATAGCGGAGAGCAGAGAGTGCGATTCCGCACGTAGCTGTAGCTGCAGGGCCCTCGCTCTCACCTCCACCGTTCTTGTAGCAGAGGTAGGGGAACCGCCATACGTTACCCAGGCCCACGCCGTAGGCCACGCCCGACATCAGGAAATCCATTTTTCTCCCCCAGCTCTCCCTGCCGGGCCTCGCCTGTCCGGGCGCCACCTCCGATGGCCTCCCTGGGCTTCCCGCCGCCCCCAGCCCCTTGCGGCCTCTGTCGGCCGTGCTGTCCGCGGTTTCGCACGCGAGAGGCATGACCTGAAAGACGGACAACGGATCGCTCGCTCACTTGCTCGCCCAGTTCCATAACTGTGCAAGACACGCGTGTCAAATACTCACCTGTGGGGCCAGAGACGCACCTGTGAGAGGAAGTACAGCAAATAGGTTTGTGGTCTATCCGTGACGGGTTTGAGTGCTCCCTTCTCGTGGCTGTTCGCTTTCTCTGGGTGCACTGCCGGCCTCTTGCATGCACGGCCCGTCGGGGTCACGATGGCCAGGTTTACGTCGAAAGCCAAAGTGATTTCCTGCTCAGGTGAGCATTGAGGAGGTGCTCATCACCCCCGAGGCCAGTGGTGGAAATTACACATTCCTATGGCGGGGGCGAGTCTCTGCATTGGACAACCACTGTTGAATTTTCAAAAATGTGGTACTAATTTTATCGACCTTAAAAAATACTGAGTTGATTAAACAACCCGAGCAGGACCGTGGGTGAAGTGAGGATTTCCTTGATCGAGAATTTTGCTCGTGTAAGATCATTGGCGCGCCATATCTGAACCGATCCTGAGCACCCCTTCACAAAGGGGCACGGACCAGAAGGGTGAAGTATGGTGAAAACACCCCCATGAACGACACGGCATAGATAGATAGATCGTTTATTGTCATTGTCACCAGTACAACGAAATTTAAAATGCTCACCAGTCAGGGCATCATTCATAAATTTAAATTAAATAAAACAAGAAAATAAAAATAAAATTAAATGAAAGATAATAAATTTATACTATATATAAAAACAGCCCAAGTATACCCGCATACCCCCCATAAGGTTACATTTTGTCATTGCACATCTCTATTTCACAGTCAATTGTAAACACTATTACTTAACAATTAATTAGCATTATTGAGTGTGGTGATCGCTGTAGGATAAAAGCTCTGTTTGAATCTGTTTGTCCTTGTTTTGACTGATCTGAATCGTCTGCCTGATGGCAACAGCTCATTGACACAGAACAGGACCCACACGTAACCGAAGCTGTAAATTATCCACAGCCACCCAGCTGGTGCTGCGGCCAAGCACACAACCCATGGTCGGAGGAAGGTCACGAGGTCAAATTCTGAGCACGGGTCAAATCCGCCCATCAGTCCCCTGTGATTCATAAAAAAACACATCTTTATCGGAAGCGATCAGTGTGGGTGTCCTAAGAAAAAACACTAGTCCCGGCCATATCAATGTTGAAAGTGATATTTCCACGACTTGCCGAGTGATTAATTTTCCTCCCAAACACGTATCAGGTATTGACAACGACAGCAGGCAGTGGTGGACGTGTGCCAGTACGCCGGCGTGAGATTTCTCAGTGGCGGCGTGAGACAGCGAGGAGGGGAGAGACAAAGACAGTCGCAGGAGACACTTGGGATGTCTGCCAACAGCATTTGAGAATCGCGGATAACAAAGTAGAAATAACAAGTAGCAGGCTTTCGCGACCAATATCATCCATAATACAGGTTTTTTTTGGGTTAGATCGCGTAAATATACAAATGTGTCGTTAAACCCGCCACCACCCGACAGCCAATTAGTAAGGGTTGTAACTTAAACAGAGCATGCCAATTCGTCACTAGTACAGCACACCGGTGTGTTGGAGAGCCAAGCCACATCATTTACAATCTGAGTACGACGTTTCGCCAGGAATTACAACTACTTTCTATAAGCGACAGCATTATTTGCTTAATACAAGCAACACTCTTCACAGGTTTCAGCATGCAGTGTCCCATTAGCGGTCGCAGTCAGGCTTGTTTTGATAGGTTTGCATTGATTCGTTTGGGCGGGTGCCATACAAAACCAACAGACTCCGGTTCAACTCCCATCCTCGGTTATCGAACGCCTCACCACCACCACCACCACCTCGCTCACCACGTCCCTTGCCCCGTCCCTCACCACCTCGCTCTTCTTTTCTTTGGCTGTCCATCGCGAACGATGATGACTGCGGAGAACAGCTAGCAGCAGCAGCATTCTCCTACGCGCTGGTGGGATGAGATGCCAGCCCTTGAGCTGAAGCGTCAGCCATACTGTGGGCAAGAGTTGCTGCTCGTCCGCTGAATGGGATTCGTGTTGTGCCGTTGCTGCTGGTGTTGATGCTGAGAGGTTTTTTCACTTTTTCCTTCAACCCTCTGACCGAGTCGACTACAGCAGCCACTTCTCCACTGCTTCCAGTTGGCTAACATTTCCCCCCATGTGTCCCACACATTGATATTGGCTGTCTTGAGGTGGCTTTTAAGTATGTCTCTGTAGCGCAGTTCTTGGCCACCACAAGAACACGCTTTGGCCTCTTTGAGTTCACCGTAAAGAAGGATTTTAGGAAGCCGATGTTCTGGCATTCCAGTTCCGTGCCCTGACCATCTCAACTGAGAGGAGGCATAACTGTTGCCTCTCTACCCTGTGGATCGCAGCTCTTGCCAGCACCTGGAATCATACATTCTTGCGATTTGTCTCAAATGTCTCAGCTGTAGGCTCGCAAGTTTATTCAGGCATCGTCTGTATAGCGTCACTGTTTCTACAGATTAAAGTAGTGAAGGAATTACCACTGCACTGTAGACCTTTACTTTGGTGAACATAGATATTTGGTGTTTAAACATATGTAGTTGGTTCAACTGAGTCGAAGACGTGCTCTTGGAGGAAACACATTTATTTAACACCAACACACGGGGTAACTGCCCCTTAACAGAATAACAACCTATGATGGTGACCACCAGGCTAACAACACTAATTACAGTGTAACTAGCTACTACGGACCGGGACCACAGCTTTGGTCCAGGTCCACGTGTTGGAGACTTGTTGAACGTAGAACGTAGACGAAGGTTTCTTCAGGATGAACAACAACGCTGGCCCCTCTGGGGGACCCGGCTTATATTCTCTGCGGCGTAGCTGGCTTCGCCCTTGGCCACGCCCACCTTCCAGAACCCTCTAGCAGGATCACGACCCGGACCATGTGACCACACGGCCTCCAGTAACCCCTTCCCTACGGCCAGCACTCTCCCTTTATCTGTGCCGCTGCAGGCTCTAGAGCTGGCATTGCACGCCGAGCGTGGTGCCATCCAGCGCTATCAACCAGTGCTGACCGAGCCCCTATAGGGCCGGAACTACACCCACATCACAGCGGTGTCCGCGATGTTGTTACACCGCACGCCGTGCCTCTCTAGGGCCGGCACCGCACAGTGACACCCCGCGATGTCACGACACGTCAAGGCCGTAGCCATGGAGTCAACATTGGGGGGGGACCAAATCTTCCAGGGGGTTGGGGGTCCCAACCCAGAAAATATCTACATTTGAAAACTCATTTCCTGCCTAAAATTAAAAATAATTCACCAACACATGGGATGGACTTTTTTTTTATTTTGAACAATGTCTAAGAGTGTATTGTATTCGATTGCTCTGTTTTTACTTTTTTACCATTTCTTGTTTAATTGTATGTAATGGCAGAGATTAGGGATTAATAAAGTACTACCATAACCACAATCATATAAACAGAAATCTATGCATTGATTTGTATGAAGACAAGTCCAGATATTGTGACCAAGGTTTCGCAAATTGTTGTTTTATTTATATAGCATAGGAATCATTTTTTATAGCAATATATTGGGGGGGACATTTTGAGCATATTTGAATATTGGGATGCGTCTCCCCAAATATATATTATAATTACGGCCTTGCTACACATACAAACATTGTTGATTGCTTGCATATTTTACCACAAGTGCGCGGTTAATGCAAACCTGATGCCTTTTGCAAAAGGTATATAGTTGGTGGTCGAAAATCTTAACACCTGTTTCGATTGCCAGAAAGGGTAAAACCTATTCTTATGTTGTCATTAGGCAGGCCTTGTTTTATAAACACAAATTCCACGCAACAGCTGTGAGCGTGAGCAGCTGTTGCTGCTGTTACTAGTTGCTGTTGTTACAAGTTGTTCGTTTCTTTTTTTATTGCACTACCGATTTACCGAATAAAAAAAACTATAACCTGGTTACCGGTTTGGCGCTCACATACAAACGTCTGTCAATAAACTCGACACATTCAGTGTCTCATCAACAGTCGCGGCCACGCTTCTTTTGCTAATCCTGTGTATCTTCTTGGTTCTTTCGGTAAAGTCACGTAGAATGGAAATAATAAAATAACAAAAATAAAACATCATAAAATAATTATGAGAATTATTTTATATTCACTAACACATGGGATGGACTTTTTATTTTATTTTTAACAATGTCTAATAAAATAATTCTAAGAATTATTTTATTATCCTTTATTTTCATTATTTTATTATTTCCATTCTACGTGACTTTACCGAAAGAACCAAGAAGATGAATCCCTGCAGTCACGAAAGCTTTAAATCGAAAAATCCTGTGTATGTCTGCATTGACTACATTGGGCGGGTGCAGTCCCATACTGACCACACTCTGGTTCGACTCCAAGACCCGGTCATCCTACTCACGCCTCACCACCTCGCCCAGCACCTGAGAAGCTCAAGGGAGTTGTCACGGCCCGTGCGATGCGCATAGCACTTGCAATTAATGAAGAGGACGCCGGTTCTATTCTATCTCCCGGCGCGGCAGCTTGTAACGGCGGGCAAACTTTCTCAAACTCACCCCCCTCCACCGCCTCTGGCCACCATGCAGTACATACAGTATACAATAGATGCGCCCACCACGGTCGAACGGCAGCTTTCTCCGTCTGGTAGGGTAAAACGTGGGTACTGCCACCTCTTCCTAAGCGTCTGGTCAGCATGGAGGAGGAGTAGGCCAAACACCCTCTCGAGAGCTGCCTCGAGTGGGGAGTCCCCTCTCACGAGCAGTACCGGGAATGAGGCGTTGCAAGTCGCTGCTCCTTTTACCTGCGGTGACTTGGTCGCCATTTACCTGCGGTGACTCTGACCGCCGTGCCGTTTGTACGTTCACGTAACCCCGATCCGCGCATTCGCTGTTTGAAATACCTCCGGTATCAGCTGCCGGGACTCCCGGCGCTTACAAGCGGCACAACCTGTTTGTCAACACGAGTCGCGCCTTATCAGTGCCATCCCCACGAAGACAAAGATATCCCGTGGACTCTTAACGGACCGTTTGGGGCAAGTGCCGTTAGCGAGTAACACCTATGAAGACCGGCACTGTGGCTCAAGAGGAGGTGGGTGGCCAGCACCACTCCCGGTCGCTTTTGTTTACCCAGTGGCGATGTTTACACACCGCACCAGGTACTCATTTGTGGCTGAGTCGATATTAGGGGTCGCCCAGCACCAGTTCATACATCCGCCGCTATTATTGGTCGTGAGCGGGAATCTTGGGTCGCCGGGTTCGTAGCGCAACGCGCTAACCGCTGCGCCACCGCTCCCTGCCACCCCCATATCCCACCACCAACCACGCGGACAGGGAATGAATGAAGGAAACCACCACCACCACCAACAACCCTTGTGTTGTACCACGGGATGCTGTGCTGGCTGACATGTCGTTCACTCACCGGGCAGCAGGCGGGCATGACCTTGCAGGACCTTGCAGGCAGCAGCAGCAGCAGGGCACGGCTGTTGTAACTCTCACCCCGCAATCTCACACCCGTACGGGCACGTACAGAGGCACCCACACAGCCACACACAATGTCACGGAGCGGAAGAGGCCGTGCCGGTTATATTTGAGATCCTAGCGGCAGGGGGCGTTCATTTTTCTCCACTTGTTGCCACACATTGGCCCAAGTGTCGAGGCGGTTACCTCCCCAGAGGACACCCCTGCTTGCGATAAATTTCTGCCATGAGTTTCAGTTTAATTTATGAGGTATATCCCTGGGAGCCACGCGGCTCTTGACTCGGGTGCACCGCAACAAAACAAAAACATGAACAAGAAAACTCTTAAAGTGACTACGCGCAACAGAAAAATCCAGGAAATATCAGCAAAATCTTCCAGAAAAAGCACCGCATTTCAACGCTGTGTGCAAAAATCCCAGTGGGATGCAAGTCAAACAATAACCACCATAAGACATAACTTTTTTTCAAAATTTCTTGCCGTGGATTTCACACCTGATTATGATTGCTTGTGTTGCAGTCGAAACGTCGTAAGAATTTGTATTGTTTTCTATTTTTATTATTTTATTATTTCCCTTCTACGTGACTTTACCGAAAGAACCAAGAATATATAACCATAAGACAATCTAGATTTGAAGTTTTCGTGACTGCAGGAATCCATACTCTTTGGTTCTTTTGGTAAAGTCACGTAGGTACAATATAAATTAAATCACGACGTTTCGGGCGCAACATAAGTGCCCGGCATCAGATGGAAACAACCACAGCAATAAACTCTGATGGTGCATTGTCCTTGAGTTGAGCGCCTTTTGACGTCATCTGGTCCAACACCATGTGAGACTAGGCTCTAAAGAAAGCTGTCTCGGGTGTGGACCAATCAATTTCAAGGACAGTGCATACATTATCAGAGTTGTGTTTTTTGTTTGCATTCCGACTGCAGGTATTGTGGTCAATGCAAACATGACTCCTTGTAAAAAAAAAGGTGTCAGTTTTGTTGCCAGATAAAAAGGGTAAAAAAACAATTATCATATTTTGCTACTGGCAAATGAGGTCCCATTGGTGTAAATGCTTACCCTGAGCTCTCATTCTCTGATAGTGCATTGTCCTTGAGTTGTGCGCCTTTTGGCGTCATCTGATCCAACACCATGTGAGACTGGGCTCTAAGGAAAGCTGTCTCGGGTGTGGACCAATCAATTTCAAGGACAGTGCATACATGATCAGAGTTATGTTTTTTGTTTGCATTCCGACTGCAGGTATTGTGGTCAATGCAAACATGACTTCTTGTAAAAAAAAGGTGTCAGTTTTGTTGACAGATAAAAGGGTAAAAAAACAATTATCGTATCTTTTCTTCCGGCAAATGAGGTTCCAATGGTAGTCACGATTTAGATCAAAGTTATCAGGCTAATTCTGCATCCCCGTGTCGCGAGTGCGCGCTACCGGGACGGAAGGTTGTGGGGGCTGATGCCCCCCTCTCCGCTCCCCGCGAGCGGGCGGGGCGCGATGTCCGCCCCCTCCACCTCCTCCACCCCCGCCCCCTCCTCGGTCGCGTCTCGCTGGGCCCCCCGTACCCCCGCCGATCGGGTGACCCCCCCCCCCGCACCAGCGTCCTCTCTGAGGGACATCGCTCTTTGGCTGGCCCACCACCAGGTGCATTGAAAAATTATAATACTCCGATTGATGCTCCTGCTGTTGTGGAGTGACTCATGCAGCCAGCTAGGGCTGCAGGGTTTTGGTGGTACATGTTGTTTATGCCATTTATTGTGAAAATTCCGTCACAGTTCCTATGATCACTGTTTCATGGCTTTATTTTGGTGATTTTGAAAAGTGTATTGGTTTAGCCAGGTTTGTTTGTTGTAGTAAAGAGTTAGACTGATGGCCTTAATCTAAGTTGTCTTGTGGTTGTTGTTGTTGTTTGACTTGCATCCCACTGGGATTCTTGCACACAGCGTTGGTGTACGGTGTTTTTTTCTGCAATATTTTGCTGTCTTTTTTTGGATTTTCTGTTTGCACTTAGTCCCATATTCACTTTAAGATGTTTTTTTGTTCATGTTTTTGTTTGTTGCGGTTGCACCCGATTCAAGAGCCGAATGGCTCACAGGGCTACACCTAATACATTAACTTGAACTTGAACCACCACCTAGGGGTTTATTACGCGTGCCCCCCCACTCGCGCGTCCGCACTCACGAACCGCGCTGATTACGCAATATTGTTGAAACAATGAGGGAAGTTAATTTAACATCGCAAACCAGGGTACTCTGCACCGTTATCAGATAAGCCGGTTTTGTGTGGTGGGGTAAAGTATGGGTAACGCCAACCTCTTCGAACACGTCTGGTGAGCATGCAGGAGTTCGACCAAATAACCATCCACAGCTCCCTCTAGCGTCGCTCTTCCGCCAGCACTTGCAGGGTTGCGCCTTTACACGAGGCTGCTGTAGTGGTGGCTGCCGTGCTAATGATGGCTCCGAGTGTGACATTGCAAGTGTTGGGCGCATTTTATGAAAAGTAACATTTTTAATATACGCTCCAAGCGTGGTGGTGTTTCATTCAGACGCTGTCTCCCCGACAGACCTGGTCTTCACCTGAGGACGGCTGCTTGCGTTGTGGCCGAAACGTCGTGAGAATTATTTTATTATGTTTTATTATTTTATTATTTCCCTTTTACGTGACTTTACCGAAAGAACCAAGAAGATGAATCCCTGCAGTCACGAAAGCTTTACATCGAAATTTTTATTGTAGTTTATGAAGCGATTTTTTTTCTTCTTTTGCATCTGCGTCAAGATGATGCAAGGGGTTTAAAACTGGAACTTCAACTGAAACTTTAACTGGAACTTTAACTGGAACTGGTGACGTTTAGACACAAAATGTTACTCGTGAAAAAATTGGTGTCGTGAATTGCGGCCATTCAGGGTGGTAATTGGCGCCCGATGCAGTCACCCACGCTGTAATAATTAATTAATCACCAGAGCTCTCTCACACAGAGCGAGGCCTGCATTAAACACATCAGCAAGTAATAACATCTTGTGACAAAAATGGAACAGGCGCGCTAAGATCAGCGGGAGAGAGAGAGCGGTCGTGCACGGCAACTGGAGGCGTTTCACTTTTTTCTCAAGGGGCCGTCCATAAATGACGTCACGCACCTGGGGGGGGGGGGGTCAGACATTTGTGACGATGTGTGACAAGGGGGGGGGGGTGCTTGAGAAATGTGACGTCACGTCAAAATGCGCAAATTTAAATAAATATAGACAACACGTTCTAATAATAGGGGTTTTCCCCTTCTTCTGGCAACAAAACTGAAACCTTTTTACAAGGATTCATGTCTGCATTAACCCCAATACTTGCAGTCAAAATGCAAACAAAAACACACTATGATGATAATATATGCATTGTCCTTGAAACTGATTGGTCCACACGTTCTACTTAATTAAATATACTTTTTAATAAGTGTTTTCTCCTACAACATCAGAGTGCAGCGCCACATTAAATACGCACTACAATGACAATAGTTTAAAGCGATTTGAAGCATGTTTTTTTTTTTTTGGGGGGGGGGGGGGCAGAGCTTTGTGACGTCATATTTGAGGGGGCGTCTGACCTTTTGTGACGCCGTGTGACGAAGGGGGGGGGGGGTCAAAAATCGTCCAAAATCGCGTGACGTCATTTATGGACGGCCCCAAACAATAATTACGTCACCCGCCGGTGGCGACGATGCTTCCTCCTCCGTGTTTTGTCAATCGGGACGTTGAGTCGACCGTCCCCTGGTTCTGTTTGGCCATGTTTATTTGTTGTAGTACAGAGTTAGACTGATGGCCTTAATCTAAGTTGTCTTGTGGTTGTTGTTGTTTGACTTGCATCCCTCTGGGATTTTTGCACACAGTGTTGGTGTACGGTGCTTTTTCTGCAATATTTTGCTGTCTTTTCTTGAATTTTCTGTTTGCACATAGTCACATAGTCACTTTAAGATGTTTTCTTGGTCATGTTTTTTTTTGTTGCGGTTGCACCCGATTCAAGAGCCGAATGGCTCACAGGGCTACGCATAATCAATGCACTTGAACTTGTTCTGGGTGGTGACCACAGTCGCCGCACACTGCCGGAGAGTTTATTTATTTATTTCCCATTTTCCTAGCTTTTTTCGGTAAAGTCACGTAGGTAAAAAATTAGAATTAATAAAAGTAAAATAAAAATAAAATAAAAATCACGACGTTTCGGAGGCAACACAAGCTCAGGTGGAACCGTCACAGCACGATTGCTGTTTACAGGTGGAACCGTCACAGCACGATAGCTGAATACAGCTATCGTGCTGTGACGGTTCCACCTGAAAACGGAAGCTTGTGTTGCCTCCGAAACGTCGTGATTTTTATTTTATTTTTCATTTTACTTTTATTAATTAAAATTTTTTTACCTACGTGACTTTACCGAAAAAACCTAAGAATATGAATCCTTGCATTCACGAAAGCTTCAAATCTAGAATTATGTATTTCCCATCTGTGCATCGTCGCCACCGAGTCGAACGCATCTGCTGCTGCTGCCACGGCTTGCGAAGTGGATGCGGCTCAGGGGTTGTGGCCCCCAGTGATCCTCGTCAGAGATCTGAGCCCAGGGAGCTTCTGCGTCGCCGGCTCTTTCGCGACGAGCGGTTCGTTGGTGACTTCTTGTGAACTCCATTCAGCTTTTCCCAGCTTCATCATCCCCAGGGTGATGGCGCGTGGGTCCAAGCGCGCTCGCTGCGCGACTTCTCGCGGCGGCGGTGGGGAGGGATGCTGTTGAGATGCTCCTGGGGGCCGTCCATAAATGACGTCACGCGATTTTGGACGATTTTTGACCTCCCCCCCCCTCGTTACACGACGTCACAAAAAGTCAGACCCCCCCCCTTTAAATATGACGTCACAAAGCTCTGCCCCCCCCCCCCCCACCGCCAAAAAAAATAAAACATGCTTCAAAACGCTTTAAACTATTGTCATTGTGGTGCGTATTTAATGCGGCGCTGCACTCTGATGTTGTAGGGGAAAACATTTATTAAAAAGTCTATTTAATTAAGTAGAACGTGTTGTCTATGTTTATTTAAAGTTGCGCATTTTGATGTGAC